TGAAAGTCACGAACAGGACCGGAGACAAAGGGCAGCCCTGGCGGAGGCCAACACCCACCGGGAACGTGTCTGACTTATTGCCGAGAATGCGGACACAGCTCCTACTGCAGTCGTACAGAGACCGGATCACCCGTTGTAACGGGTCCGGCACCCCATACTCCCGCAGCACCCCCCACAAGAACCCCCGAGGGACCCGGTCGAAAGCCTTCTCCAAGTCCACAAAGCACATGTAGACTGGTTGGGCAAACTCCCAGAACCCCTCCAGTAGTCTTGCGAGGGTAAAGAGCTGGTCCACTGTTCCACGGCCGGGACGGAATCCGCATTGCTCCTCTTGAATCTGAGGTTCGACAATGTTCAATTGTTAGACTAAACTGTTGAATCAACAATGATAATCCTGGGAGGTATAGTATGTGATGCATTTGTAATATTTAGCATGTGTCTATTATTTTGTCCACCCCCAATGGAATCATCACCTGTCACACTGTCAACATCATAAGCTTCACTAAAGATTGTATTAGTAGCATTATAATGTGCGAGTGTATGTGAGCTGCACCCACCAGGACTCAAGTTCAGGTCCAGACTGTAGGCGTGAGAGATGAGTCCAGAGTTCCGAATAAACAAGTCTTCATCAAGAGACTCCCCCTCCTCTTCTTCACTACTCCCCTCCGTCTCGTCCTTATTTTCTTCCTCCTCCTCCTCTTCCTCTTCCTTCTTTCCCTCCCAATTGCTTTTCTTTTCTTCTCTGCTCTCCTCCTCCTTTTGCATCATTCCTTCTCTCCTGTCATCCTTCAGGTCTTTGCTGCAACAGGGCTGTTCCTCAACTGATAGACATTCATTGGCTGGTTGGGAGCTGGGAGGGCTGCTATTGGTTGTCTGGATGTCCATCATGTCAAACTCAGGGAAAAGCAGGCTCATGCAGGATTCCATCTCCATCAATGTTGCCTCAATTTCCTGGTATGACTCTGACAAAGAAACAATATGTAAATCTCATGTTAAATCTTTGCTTCATTTGGAAAACTCCCAAATGAAACAACGTTCATCCAAGATCTTGACGGGATTTTAGACAGTACGCTGGACTGTCAATTTGGTCCAGTCTAGTTCATAAAGAATCAGTTATTGTTATTATTGTCACTTGACAACGTTTTGTGGTGTTTACCCTCCATGTCTTTGGAGGCTGCCTCTACTCTCTCCTTGTAGATTCTCTCCATTTTCCTCTGTCTCTCCACCTCCCTCCTCCTCTCTGCTACTGTCCTAGCCTCAGCATCTTGGAAGTCCACCTGACAGCAAGGACGCATTACACACAACATGGAGCATGTTAATCAATTGGGAGACACCATTCAAGTAGATAGCAACAGTAGCACAGGAAAGGACTGATACTTAACGGAGCAGGTATATATCAGAGTGCAGGGTTCAGTAACTTTAGGCACGCGTGCCAAAGGCTTAACCAATGGCCCATACTAAGCGTGAAAGAGAGTTTTTTGGAAATGATGAAGTGCTTTCTCATCTGCATGCCAAATGACCTCTTTCACAACCATAGGCAGTGATTTACGGTAGTTTGGCTAGCTCACAGCCACCGCTCTGCACTGTTTTCATACAGCAATTTCAGCTGATAAAGTCGTCCCTACCGGCAGTGTCATCGCGGCAGGCTAGCACTCACCGTCCGGTTCCCCCTCAGGTAAACACCGTTAGCTCTGTCAGCAAGTTTGCCATAGTTTGTACTGTTAGCGCTGTGCCATTAGCTATGAGCTACCGGCTCAGGTGACCCCATGTTGAGAACCGTTGAGGGGCAATAAAAGGAAAAAAAAAAAAAAAAAATGAATTGAACTGTTTTCTGCATACAAAATGCTAGGGGGATTTCGTTTTTTACAGTCTCAGTTACATCAATGATTAGTAATAACATTGATGTTGATGCATCATACACTGCAGTGCTCCATAATACAGCAGCAATAACCCTAGCAGAAACCAGGAAATTGGCATGTGAACTATTGCACATGCGCACATCGCAATGTCGACGATGAAACGTAAATGGTGCAGACCTATAAACTCTGTGGCGTTATTAAACTCGTCATCTATAATATTGTTGCTTATTTTAGCCTCTGGTTCCTTTATGTTTTTTGTCTATTGTTGTGTTTTGGTAAGTAACCTGTTTGTACTTGTTTTTTAGAGATATTGTATCTCAATGGGACCATTCTGGTTGAAAAAAGGATTAAAAAAAATATTCAAATAAGCTTTATAGGCAAAATATTACAGCTAAAATGTGACACACTTTAATAGACCTTCCAGCATGCAGCTTTTTATATTATGGTGTCAATCTCAATGTTGTAATTCATCAACAGAATGTCACAGGACAGTTTGTTTGGCAGAGGCAAAAAAAGGGAAGTTTAATCCCTCTCACCTTCTTAACCTGTTTGAGAAAGTGGTAGCCCAGTGCTAACTTCTTATAAGCTGCCCCATAAGAGGTCTGCCATGATTGGACAGTCTGGATGGCCAGGGACCTGAGTTTCCTGGCTACTTCCTTAGGAGGGGGGAGAGGCTGCTCTGAGTCAGTCTCTACCGTCAACTCCAGGAACTCCTACAGAAGAGGGATGAGTGAGAGTCACAAGGAAGGGAAGAAGGATGGGAACATGACAACCTGACTTACTATTCCAATAATACACATACAATTCAGTATCTATGTTTTGAAATCAAGATTAACATTTGATTTTAACTCCCCAGCTTACACAGAGACATTTATTTACATAACTGACTTGGAATAAAGAAGACCTGAATAAGACCTGTGTATGATAGGCCGACAGGTTACACTGGCATGGAAACAAAATTAGGACTACACTCTTTCTGAGCAAATATGTATTAACCAGTACAAAAAGATGAGGTGGTGTTACTGTTATATACAGCGGGTAAAATAAGTATTGAACACGTCACCATTTTTCTCAGTAAATATATTTCTAAAGGTGCTATTGACATGAACTTTTCACCAGATGTCGGTAACAACCCAACTAATCCATACATACAAAGAAATGCAAACAAATTAGTTCAGAAATTAAGTTATGTGTAAAAAAATGGAATGACAGGGAAAAAGTATTGAACACGCTTACTGAAATTGATTAAATACTTCGTACAAAAGCCTTTGTTGGGAATGACAGCTTCAAGACACCTCCTGTATGGAAAAACTAGTCGCATGCATTGCTCAGGTGTGGCTTCTTCCAAACAAACAGAATTCAAATCTTGAAGGTTCCGTGGGCCTCTTCTATGAACTCTGATCTTTAGTTCTTTCCATAGATTTTCTATTGGATTCAAGTCAGGTGATCATCTGGGCCATTCTAGCAGCTTTATTTTATTTCTCTGAAACCAGTTGAGAGTTTCCTTGGCTGTGTGAAATGTCCACCCTTGTTTCATCTTCATCATCCTGGTAGATGGGAGCAGATTTTTATCAAGAATGTCTCGGTAAATTTTTCCATTCATATGAAGTTTGCCAGTGCCGTATGCTGAAAAACAGCCCCACACCATGATGCTCCCACCTCCAAACTTCACTGTTGGTTTGGTGTTTTTGGGGTGATGTGCAGTGCCATTTGACCTCCAAACATGCTGTGTATTATGGCATCCAAAGAGTTCAGTCTTGGTCTCATCTGACCAGACTATACTCCCCAGTATTTCACAGGCTTGTCTAAATGTGCAGCAAACTTTAAACGAGCTTCAACATGCTTTTTCTTCAGCAGTGGAGTCTTGCGTGGTGAGCGTGCATACAGGCCACAGCGGTTGAGTGCAATACTTATTGTTTTCTTTGAAACTATTGGACCTGCTTATTCCAGGTCTTTCTGAAGCTCTCCACAAGTGGTCCTTGGCTCTTGGACGACTCTTCTGATAATTATTTTCACTCCTCTGTCAGAAATCTTGCGAGGAGAACCTGGCCGTGACCGGTTTATGGTTAAATGATGTTCTTTCCACTCCCGAATTATGGCCCCAACAGTGCTCAATTGTGTTTGTTTGGAAGAATGGGCCAAAACCACACCTGAGCAATGCATGAGACTAGTTTCTCCATACAGGAGGCGTCTTGAAGCCGTCATTATCAGCAAAGGCTTTTGTACGAAGTATTAAATCAATTTGAGTAAGCGTGTTCAATACTTTTTCCCTGTGGCATTCCATTTTATTGCACATAACTTAATTTCTGAACTAATTTGTTTGCATTTCTTTGTATGTATGGATTACTTGGGTTGTTACCAACATCTGGTGAATATTTCATGTCAATAGCACCTTTAGAAATATATTTACTGAGAAAAATGGTGACGTGTTCAATACTTATTTTACCCGCTGTAAATACCTGAGATGAGCTATTGGTCTACATGATGCCAGTACCTGGAAGTTGTCCACCAGCAGCGTTCTAAAGTGGTGTGATCTGGAGAAGAGCTCACTGGCGATCTGGAAGGCAGACAGTCGGACCTCAGCATGTTCTTGGTTGAGCTGAGATATCACCGAGTGGTACACGTGGTCTATGCAGTCATTAGACACTCTGGGAGGAATGAAAGACACAGAGTGAAAAGTTAAGTTCCATATAACATGTATGAATATCTTTGTGTTCTTATAATCATGTGAATTCTAACTTTACCATGAATATCACTACAGCGGCGAATTAAGGCAATTGTAGGTAAAAGAAATGAAAAAAAAAAAAAAAATATATATATATATATATATATATATATATTTTACTGGTACTGTCAGTACTACAACCATTGTTTATTGGTAGTAGTACTAAAGTTTTTCTCTTGAATTTGAGACTTTAATCTCAGATCATTTTTTGTTTTTTCTTCGCAGATTTATGACTTCAATCTCTGAATATGAATTTCCTATTTTGTTTTTCGCAAATTTTAAAACGTTTTTACTCGGAATATTACCCCCAGCTCTGTAAAAAAATGTGCCTACATTGGCCTATATCATAACTATTGTCTCAGATTGGGTCGGGGTATAAAAAAAATCAATGCAGTGGCGTATATGTACAGTATGTTACAATGTTTCACTGACTATGGAGAATATTTTGCATCATCAAAAATGTATTGAAACCTTTGCACGGTGGGATTAACCTGCAAATGGGCCCAGAGCAAAAGTGTGACGTCAGTCCTAACTCAGAATTCTGAATATGTACTGTGTATTAATGGACTACTACTTTGGCTTTTTTCAGAGAGGAGGAACTAGTAAGTACTCCATGGTACACAGTGACTTATGCCCGAAGTATCTCTCTGGGTAGAAATGTAGCCTCAGTTAGTGACATACTTGCAGATCTTCTTGATTTCCTTCATGCTGTCCTGGTTGAGCTGTGGTTCTCCTGATGTGGTAAGCTGCTCCACCAGCTCTGACAGCCTGTCCCTCTGAGACAACTCCATCTAATTCATTAACACACCTGTGAAAGGGGATATACTGCTGACTAAAAGGAGTTTACCAAGAGTGAAGTTCTCCAGCCAAACCATTCAAGGAGACATAATACAAAAATATCTAAATATCTGCAAAACTGAAAAAAGTGGGACGTGAATCCTGGTATAACCACGATCAGCTACGCAAGTCATGGAGAGATGCAGACAGAAAGAAAGACAAAATAATATGAAACTGTTGTATCTACGAAAAAATGTCATATGTGATGCTTAACCTGTACACTGTAAGATCTCTGATGGTTATTGAAGCCTGTCATGTAATATTACAACAAATACTGAAGATTATTTAAAGTATCACAGGTGTCCTCCCATTGTTAAATAAGATGTATAATTGTTCATGTTGATGCTTAAAAACAACTATACTACAATATATTATAATATATTTAGTAACGTTACATTGCGAAGTAACGTCATATCATACGTTACACGGCTATTTCCTGATTATATAGAGGTTTCGTAAGCTTGTCATCTACCACCCACTAGCAGTACATTTACTGTACTAGACTGTAATGATAATCGAGTGAGCATTGGGGCTACACCTTCCTATATACAGACAATGCAGAAACACACAATATGTATTAACATGCAAACAGTTCCATACAAGTAACGCTAATTATGTAGCCAGCTAACGCTACATCACATTTTGAAATACTTATCTTTCTGATTTACATATTAGCATTTTTTATGAAATTTAAAAGGAAACATAAAAAAGTTATATTATTATACAACTACACATTTCTAGAAAATGTATTTAAGTCAAAATTGCGTTGAAGTGAATTTATAGCTTTGCTAGCTGCTACAATGCTAACAAACGTAAACACAGGTTTTCGGTGTCTCAAACCACTTACCAGCAAGTAGCTTGTTTTATTATGTAAGGTTACTGAAACTCAGTACATTTTCCAGCTGTTAGCTCCAACTGATCAACGCAACTCGTAGTTCATTCATGACACACGACATTATATTAACGCCTGCTCTTTAGCCCCGTTTTTATGTCAACAACCGTTTATTTACCTTCCTCGAGACACACATATTTCCGTTAGCTACTTGTACTACCGGTTTGACTTTTCAGAATAAAAGCATCGATAAGGCCGCACCCCCTGTACGGCACGTGGACCAAATACATACGAAGGACCTCCATGCACTCATAATGTCGTATACAGTCTAATGCAAATTAATAATACTAATACAGTTTTTGTTTTATCTGTGATTCTACTTTTATAAGTTCTAGTTTAGTGTGGTGTTCTGCTGGGAGGCATCTAAAATGTTGTGCCTGTACAGTGCTGTTGGCTTTGAAACATTCATCAGGGCTTAGCTCTTATTATGTGTCTGATGGCAATTCAAGGGTGATAGATGTGTTGTCAGATCACATCAGATTATAACTGCAGAATTGACCAGTCTGGAATAGGTACCAAACCTAATACAATACTGTACCATGTTACAATTCAGTGACATCATGAAACAAGAAGTATGAATAAGATGTGTGGTTTTTATATTGTGAAGTGAATGACGGTTACTGACGCTGGCTGCTATAACAACAGATGAACATCTGGGAGAGAGAGAACGCAAACACAATCCAAAAGCAAAACATGCTGTTTACACAGCAATGTTTATTTTATATATATATATATAATTTATTTTGTACCCAAAATCACAAATTTGCCTCAGAGGGCTTTAAAATCTGTACACATAAAATCTGGGCCTAGTAGAATAACTTGTTTGAGTTTAACATCAGGAAGTTGCAGGTCATCCAAGTTTTTATGTACTTAAGACATGCTTGAAGTTTAGTGAACTGGTTGGTTTCATCTGGTTTGATCGATATATACAGTGGGTACGGAAAGTATTCAGACCCCTTTAAATTTTTCACTATTTGTTTCATTGCAGCCATTTGCTAAAATCAAAAAGTTAATTTTATTTCTCATTAATGTACACTCAGCACCCCATCTTGACAGAAAAAAACAGAAATGTAGAAATTTTTGCAAATTTATTAAAAAAAACAAAAAACTGAAATATCACATGGTCATAAGTATTCAGACCCTTTGCTGTGACACTCATATTTAACTCACATGCTGTCCATTTCTTCTGATCCTCCTTGAGATGGTTCTACTCCTTCATTGGAGTCCAGCTGTGTTTAATTAAACTGATTGGACTTGATTAGGAAAGGCACACACCTGTCTATAGAAGACCTTACAGCTCACAGTGCATGTCAGAGCAAATGAGAATCATGAGGTCGAAGGAACTGCCCAAGGAGCTCAGAGACAGAATTGTGGCAAGGCACAGATCTGGCCAAGGTTGCAAAAGAATTTCTGCAGCACTCAAGGTTCCTAAGAGCACAGTGGCCTCCATAATCCTTAAATGGAAGAAGTTTGGGACGACCAGAACTCTTCCTAGACCTGGCCGTCCAGCCAAACTGAGCAATCGTGGAAGAAGAGCCTTGGTGAGAGAGGTAAAGAAGAACCCAAAGATCACTGTGGCTGAGCTCCAGAGATGCAGTAGGGAGATGGGAGAAAGTTCCACAAAGCCAACTATCACTGCAGCCCTCCACCAGTCGGGGCTTTATGGCAGAGTGGCCCGACGGAAGCCTCTCCTCAGTGCAAGACATATGAAAGCCCGTATAGAGTTTGCCAAAAAACACATGAAGGACTCCCAGACTATGAGAAATAAGATTCTCTGGTCTGATGAGACCAAGATTGAACTTTTTGGTGTTAATTCTAAGCGGTATGTGTGGAGAAAACCAGGCACTGCTCATCACCTGCCCAATACAATCCCAACAGTGAAACATGGTGGTGGCAGCATCATGCTATGGGGGTGTTTTTCAGCTGCAGGGACAGGACGACTGGTTGCAATTGAAGGAAAGATGAATGCGGCCAAGTACAGAGATATCCTGGAAGAAAACCTCTTCCAGAGTGCTCTGGACCTCAGACTGGGCCGAAGGTTCACCTTCCAACAAGACAATGACCCTAAGCACACAGCTAAAATAACAAAGGAGTGGCTTCGGAACAACTCTGTGACCATTCTTGACTGGCCCAGCCAGAGCCCTGACCTAAACCCAATTGAGCGTCTCTGGAGAGACCTGAAAATGGCTGTCCACCAACGTTCACCATCCAACCTGACGGAACTGGAGAGGATCTGCAAGGAAGAATGGCAGAGGATCCCCAAATCCAGGTGTGAAAAACTTGTTGCATCATTCCCAAGAAGACTCATGGCTGTACTAGCTCAAAAGGGTGCTTCTACTCAATACTGAGCAAAGGGTCTGACTACTTATGACCATGTGATATTTCAGTTTTTCTTTTTTAATAAATTTGCAAAAATTTCTACATTTGTTTTTTTCTGTCAAGATTAATGAGAAATAAAATTAACTTTTTTGATTTTAGCAAATGGCTGCAATGAAACAGTGAAAAATTTAAAGGGGTCTGAATACTTTCCGTACCCACTGTATGATTATCATCTGCATAACAATGAAAGGTTAGTGTTTTTTGATATTGCCTAAAGGAAGCATATAAAGTGAATAAAATTGGTCCAAGCACAGAACGTTGCGGAACTCCATGACTAGCGTTGGTGTTCATGGAGGATTCATCGTTTACATACAAACTGAGATTGATCTGATAAATAGGACTTAAACCAGCTTAGTGCGGTTCCTTTGATGCCAATATAATGTTCTAGTCTCTGTAACAGGATGTAATGGTCAATGGTGTTGAACGCAGCACTAAGGCCTAACAGGACAAGAACAGAGTCAAGTCCTTTGTCTGATGCAATTAGAAGGTCATTAGTTATTTTTACCAGCTGTCTCTGTGCTATGATGCTTTCTAAATCCTGACTGAAAATCCTCTAATATACTACCGTGATGTAGAAAGTCCACACAACTGATTTGCGACTGCTTTCTCAAGGATCTTAGAGGGGAAGGGAGGGTTAGAGATCGGTCTATAGTTAGCAAACACCTCTGGATCGAGAGTGGGCTTCTTAAGAGGTTTAATTACAGCTACTCTGAAGGACTGTGGTACATGGCCTGTTAGTGAAGACAGGTTGATCATATCTAGTAAAGACGGGCTAACTAAAGGTAACACTTCTTTAAGCAGCCTAGTCGGTATAGGGTCTAAAAGACAGGTAGACAGTTTAGACGTAGAAATTGTTGAAGTCAGTTTGTCAAGGTTGATGGGAGTAAAGCCATCTAAACATATCAGGGTTTACAGCCGTTTCTAAGGTTACTCTATTTGAGGATAGATCAGTACTGGTTGAGGGTAGTAGATTATTAATGTTCTCTCTAGTAGTTATAATCTTATCATTGAAGAAGTTCATGAAGTCACTACTACTGAGGCCTATACGAACCATAAGCCAGAACCAGGTCGAGGGTGTGGTTAAAACAGTGAGTGGGTTTCTGTACACTGACGGAAGCCAATCAAATCTGATAATGAGAAGAATGCAGTACTAAAGCTGTCATCAATATTTACATGAACATTAAAGTCACCTACAATAACGAATAATCTGTTTTAAGGACTAGATTTGATAAAAACTCTGATAGGAATTCAGAATATGGACCTGGGGCCAGGTACACTATAACAAATAGAACTGGCTGTATTGTTTTCCAGGTTGGGCGTGAAAAACTAAGAACCAGGCTTTCAAATGAGTTATAATTTAGTTTAGGTTTTTAATCGGCTTGAGTCAAAAATGGCTGCTACTCAACCTCCTTGGCCGAGGTGGAGTATAGCTTCGACTTTTAACACTAGAATTCCTAGTATAATTTGAAGGTAACCCTACAGGAAATCCACAAATACATCATTTTTACATAAATTCATTCTTAAATTATGAACACAAAGTCAAAAATACACCTTTATTCTCATCCGCACCCACATCCAAAAAAAGGTTCTAAGGCCAACAAATAAAATTTGGCTGCTCAAGCTCATACTGACTAACCAATGAATCCACCATCTACTGGGCCAGCCCAACATTTGTGTCCTCAAAGGTGTGCCCCTTGTCCTTTAGTTGCAATGTCTTGAGGAGTTTGCTCTTCTGTTGTTGGCCATGCGTTTGAAGAGTGATGGTTTCATCCACACAGTCAATAAGTCTCTCTCTCTCTCTGCATTGCCATGTAAAATGCCACCGTGCAATCATCTCATAATTTCATTTTGACTTGTAGAGCATTTATAAGTTCTACAATCTCTGCGAAGTAGCTGTTCTCCTCTCCTACAATCATTTCTGACTGGACCATTTCCTGGTACTGGTCTCTGAGAGAGAGCAGAGAGCCCAGCAGAGACCTGTCTGAGCGGTAATGATCCAGACACATTGGAGCCATCGCCACCAACGCCCGCAGAGCCTGAGAGAGAAACGACAGAAACACGCAGAACAAGCTCATTTCATAAATATTTATTTAGCCATTCTGGGTTTCTTAAAAGGCATATATGGGTCATGTAGTATTAAAGCCGCTTATAATTTGTTTATCATCAACTTTATCAAAGTCGGTCTACCTTCTCTCTGTAGTCATGCTCAGTGGACTCCAGCAGCTGTGGGACCAGATTGCACCAGCCCTTATCCAGCAGCTCCCCCTGCAGAGACACCTTAGAGTACTGACGCACCCGCTCCTCATGGGAGGCATCCAGCACCCGGTCCAGACCACCCTGAGAGATCAGCTCCTGGTGGAGCAGGACAGACCAACATCATCTAGGAAGTCATATTCTACATCCTCAACAAGGGCCAAACTCCTAGGCAAACCTAAAATACAGTTTGTATAAATGACTACCTGAAACAAAAAGCGAGTCACAGAGAGGCTGAGTAGGAGAAACTAACATGCGGACGGCGCTGGCCGTCAATGACTCACAGATCCAGTGGCTGCGTTTTGTATATCTATTTGCAAGAAGGATAAACAACCACTTGTGGTGGATACCACGCATTCTAAACGTTCAAGCGACTTTCACAACAGCGTCCAAAGGTGATCAAAAGCGTTAAAACAGCGTTAAAACAGCCATAAACAGCAGTAAGCTGCGGCGATAAAACAGCGACGATAAAACAGCGACGATAAAACAGCGGACTTGCTCCCTTACCCCCTCTCCTTCCATTCACTAAGCTAAACTACTGAACAGCTGATATCCCCATTGCTGTACCCAACACCACGTGACTCAATTACCATAAGTGAACAAAAAAAGGTTTACAGAAATGACACAGGCTATACCTGGCTCCTACAGTTTGTTTGTTGTACCTTCTCACTGATCATGTCATACAACATGGTGACAATGCGTGTACGCAGAACTCCACCTCCATCTGCCCTGAACAGCTCTGATAGAACCTGCAGCCCTCCATGTGACAGGAAGTGGCGCTGTGCGTAGGGGAAGTTACGTAAGAGGGAGGCCACTGCAAACAGAACCTGACAGGAGGACAATCACAGACTGAAAACATTACACCTGAATTGCATGTATCTGTACACACCTTCTCAACAATAAAGTGTAATGCGGGTTTGTGTTCAGTACCTTCTTTTTGACTCTAAGGGGCTGTGCAGTGGCCAGTACAGTTAAGAGCATCTGCAGAGCCCCACTCTCCACAGCCTTCACCTGAACCTCCGGGTTACTGCAGGACAGAAGCTCTGTTAGCAACCGTTAGCTACCACTGACAGCGATATGATGCCGAGTACACACAAAGACACAAATATGGATTTTAAACAAGAGGACACATTGATGTGAAGCAGCTGCTTACACAAATGTGTGGCTGCTACTGCTAAACTAAGCTGTTTGTACCTTGACACAGCAGATCCCAGAACAAAGGCAGAGCTTTCCTGAAATCTGAAGTCAGTGCTGTTCAGACTTTCTACAATGAGTTGGAGACCCCCCATCGAACACAGGTTCTGAGCGTTATCCACCTAACACACAAACATGCAGGCAAAGTTAGCAACTTACATCACCGAACACATCTGTAGGCTAACTTGTAGATTTGAATGTGTATGAACGCATGCGTGTTCGGCTACCTGATGCACCAGATACTCCAGCTCCAGCAGGATGCTCAGCTTCTGCTCCGTGGTCGAGTTGCTGCTGTGAAACTGGTCCAGCAGGCGCTTCATTATCTACACACCATCACAACTCGTAAACAACAGCGGCTTTACAGTAAAAAAACCCCCCAATATTAGCTTATGTAATTAAAGTATTTGACTGTGAAGCAGCTGCAAGAGGAGATCCCATAGCTTACCAACATCTCCAACATGCAAGTCTCTGCACAGAGCTGCTTTCTGAGCACTATGAAAAGGTCAGATGTCTTAAGCACAACTTGCCCTCTCTGCTGAATGGCAGCTGTCATAATTTCAGCAATAAAAAAAACCTAATATAAGCTCAAGTGCATGATTGAAACTACACCATATCCTATGACGATACTAGCACTACTATTATTTTGATTGATTACACCTGCAACTACAAATGTTTTCACTATCAATTAATCTGCTGATTTTTTTCTCAATTCATCAAATCATCACATAAGGTGGACCAGCTATTCTCATTTCAGTGACAAGCCGCTCCTCAGAGTTTTAATCAGTTTAATCCGAAGGCCAAGTTTCGTAATTGTGAAAACCTTAAAAAGTGGAATAGTTGGTCTCCCCTGATTTTTGTGAGTTACATGTAATACAACACTTATAGATAACCAAGAGTACTATCACGTGCCTGAACATCAGTCTCCACCAGCAGGTCCAGCTGAGCAAAGTCTCTCTTTAGCTCCTCCAGGGGACGGTACTGGGATGTCACAGTGTCCTACGAACACATGGCAAAGAGAGGACACTTACAGCACAGTAGAAGTGCGATATGTTGTTTTAGTTATGAATAAAAGGGGAAAATAGTATGGTAGTAGATATTTGGAGAAAAAGATGTAAATATTCTAAACATAGCGTACACTTAAACTGATATCGACTTCTTTGTGTGGCTAAAATACGTTTTTCCCGTCCACAGCAGTACGTTATTTTGCTCCTGTGCCGGTTCTCCCGTCTGTTTCTCCACACTGGGGGTGTGCCACCGGCTATCTAGTGTAAGTGATACACCGACTATCGACCTCATACAACCCCACTTCAAAAAATACAAACTATCCTTTTACTCGAATATTGAATATCTGTGCTGTTAACTGTTGGTCTGTGTCTTTGCTCACTGGGCTCAGGTCCTCCATCTTCTTCATGGCCTGTTTCAGCTCATCAGGACTGATGGTGGACCGGATCTCTTCCATCTCTCTGCAAAGACAGACCTTTACTGCAGATAGAATATTCAGATTGTGTGCTTCTCGAAGCAAGAACGCTCAAGGCTGCAGTAACTGCTGCTTCTACAAAGTATGCAATAGGTGAAATTAAATACTTATTGAAGTCACTTGATCTTAGAGGAAGGGGTGTTTTCCTGGACCCATACCTGTGTTCTTGTGTCCAATATTTAAGCTGCTCTTCTCCCAGTCTGACCTCCCTCTGTCCTGTTTGCAGATTCAGCCTCACATGGGAACCTGCTGGCACTGCTTGGCCTGTGACACACACACACACACACACACACACACACGTCTAAAACAGAAGAGTCTTTTTGACTATGACGAAGTACCAGTACACCCTGCAGTACATTACCTGCTTTGAGCGTTTGCCAATCCTCAGTAGGTTGGACCACTTCTAAATCTCCTTCATCAACAGTCACCTCTGCTTCTTCATCAGCACCTCCTCCCTCCACCACAGTTAATGCACAGTCAGACTGCACACACAGAAAACAACATCACTTTTTTGAAGTTTTGATACCAACACAAAAAACCGATTTGCTTTTAATAAGACTATAACTATTATGCATCCTTGCATATTAGTTTTTAGGAATTAAACCGATTTATTTTCCCTGCAATGGTCTTGGATCATGGAGTGCATAAAACCCAAATTCCTTCACAGTGTTTGAAATCTTACTGGCCCTGATAACACAGACATCATCCCATCATTAATGTACCCCGGTGTATCTTCCTGTTGGAGAAAGCTGGTTACATTGCTGTCCAAAGAATCAACAGGGCAGCATTGTTCTTGATAAACTGCCCATCTTTGCAGCTACTTCTCTTTTGGTGATGAGGGAAACTCCTCTTCCCTCAGGAACTCCAGTAATCCTCAAATTAAGACTCCTCTCATTAGTTGAACACTAAAATCCAAATTGTCAGGTATTTTCCTGCTGATGCACAGAACCTAGTGATAACTGAGTTCAAGTTGCTGTTCCAACTTATGGCTTTCGTCCCTTGAATATCAAAGTTGAACTACACATAGAATACCATCCAGTGGCTAAAATATTTCACCCTATTGCATGCTCGCTCGGTCCCATCCCAAACGTGATGTAATGTAAGGCAATGAAAAACATTACATCATCCAGTAGAACTCACCTTCTGTCCAGGAATGCTGGCTATCTGACAGCAATGCAGCAACAGGAGAAGAGCGGCTCCAGCAGCACTGCATGATATCAGCTTCATGGTGACTGAAACAGGAGGGAGCACAGCGGTACAGCCAAACCGATACCACCTGTGTCCGCCTGCTGAATGTGGAGAATAAACTCTCACCAGCCAGACTCCATCTACAAATATGCTGTTCTAAAGTTACCTTGTTCGGGCAAGGGCACAGTTACATTTGGAACATATAAACGTTGTCTTTTTTGAACTTATATTTGACTTATTCTTTTAGCATTGCCTCCTGGTATTACACGTTAAGACAGTTAGATGTATGACTACCAAAGGTTAGGTGTCCAAACGGAATTAGTCCGGATTTGAACTGAGTTTGGCGTGGCGTAGCACACCTTCCCATGTGTGACAGCAACCAAGCAATAAAGGGCAAAGATACCCAGACTGGATATGAATGTAAGAGTAGTTAGAGTACACCGGCAGAGCTAGAGCAACAACTCACCGGTTCCAGTGACATCAGACACACTCAGCACACCGCGCTTCCTCCTGAAGGCTTCTGTCACTGGCCTCTGAACTCTCATTGGTCCACGTGGGTCTTCGTCTTCTTCTTTAGAAAGCTCTTAAAGCGGTGGCTCGCGAACATTGCTGCCACCAGCTGGTCCAGAATGGTAATTAGCCAATATGATATGTGTCAAATTTGACACATTATATCATATTGGCTACATTTATGTAGCTCTTTAGACATTTTACATAAAGTGAGAAACATTGTCACATGCTTGTAACTAGTTATTCAATTAGGCGTAGAATGAAGCATCTTCTCTCTTTACATTTACAAATATTCAAAACAATTCACCTCATGACATGACTTATCACTTCACCACATAGAAAGACATTAACATTAACATCATGTTTTAACCCTCTATGTATCTTAGAGAACAAGTGGCCATGTCAATAAACTGTCATACAATTATATATCATTTTCCATTTTCAATGAGTTACATCTTTTTTGCCAACATCAGTGCTGATCAAAACTACCAAATGTTAATTGATTTTCAACCTTTAAATACCAGTTTGTGACATTACAATGAACATTTACAAAATGGAGACGATAACAGCATCTGTCAACTACAAATTGGAACAATTTTTGTCATATTGGGAAAAATGGGTTACATATGCATCACCCCATATACATATACCTGGCTTTATTTTCATAAATCGATGAATGTACCATAGAGAATACTCTGTACACTCTTTTAAACAAAAATGTCCCTCCTTGTTCTTTGTGTTTACCTTAAATGGGCATCATCTGTCTGTCATCTCTCTCACAAAAATGGAAACAACAGCTAGGACAAGGACAACACAGCTGGACAGATAAAGGTAAATAAAAGACAGGGCTCTTAAGTACACAAGAAGTGAACAGATATAAAAGTAAATATTAATATTAGCTTATATCAATATATATAAAAATCCCCAATGACCAACAATAAAATTTAAAAAAAAGTGTTCTGTAAGTTGTAAACAATACAAATAGTGCAAAAAAAACCAAATACTGAATGAGTACAAGTGGATGATTATGTGCAGTTTATTCATGTAAGCATGTAATGTATATACAGCGTGTAAGATGTATACTGATGACTGATGATATGCACATGTTCAAAAACAAACAAATTATAATCTACGATGGCAGCCGTGCATATTTTGGTGTTCGAGGGTATTTGACAGTGACTGATGTTAACTGTTCATCTGAGTGGCTGTTTGTGGGAAGAAACTGTTCTGGTGTCTGGTTGTTTTGACGTAATATACTGTAGTGCTTCCTAGAGGGGAGACGCTGAAACAGGTCATCTACAGGGTGAGAAGGGTCTGCAGTGATGTTCCCTGACTCTGGAGGTAAGTCCTGTCCGTTGTGGTCTGGTGGTGGCTGATCCTAACCACACAGTGATGACTGGATTATTGCGCTGTAGAACTGGATGAGTTGCACCAGATCTTTTTAGTTTAGTTTATTAACTGGATTAGCTGACGCCTTAGCGGCCGCTAATCTTCCTGGTCCACAGAAAGAACAAAATGTAACACATACAAAACATGCAAACCATGACGTGAAACAAACAGTTAAAAATAGTACAATCAGAACAATAAAAATAATAAAAAATAAAAATAGTACAGTCAGATACATAGTGCAGTCAAAGACTATGTATATTGTCATAATCGACCATATACACAGTGCATCCATAATTTATACAAATAATTATCAGGGGACTACAAAAGCAATGGAAAACATCAAGTGGTTAGTGGCCTGAGGTGAGCCTTTAATTGTTTATTAAATGACAGATTATTACCTGTATGAGTTATGTAAGGAGGTAGTAAGTTCCAAGCAGTAATTGTACATATCTTATTAATCAAGGCTTCATAGCAAAGGGGGTGAATACATATGCACACAACTTTTTTTTTAAAATTAGCTGTTTTTTTGTATTTCACCTGAACTATTTTGTGTAGGTATATTACATACAGTCCAAATAAATATCCAGTTGAATTCCAGCTTGTAATGCTAGAGGGGTGAATTCCTTTGCAAGGCACTGCACCTGAATTTGCTTGACAAGCAGAATGGGTCACAGAGATAGATAGATAGATAGATAGATATAGATATACAGTATATATATATTAAAGAAGAACCAAGTAGACAAGTAAGAATCGGGGCTTTTTTAGGGGTTGAGGCTCTTAAGGTTTTCTAGTCTTCTGGACTTTAGGCGGTCTTAAGATCTTGAACACGTTTGAAGGTCTGATTGGGGTTTTGAACTTTTTACATTTAGTCTTTTCTTTTACATTACCCATTTTTGTAAACTTTTATCTCCTTTTATTGAAAAAAATAAAAATAAAATTTGTTTGTATTTTGTATCCGACCAAAGTCCAGTGTTGCTCATCTCTTCATAGTCTCCTAAAAGGTAAGAGAGCTCTTCCCCTGGGACGGGCTGACAGGAGTAATTAATCAGACATACACCACCCAGCGGGGAGTAACGGAGCCCCCCGTCCCTGGTGCGACTGATTTCAAAGAAAAAGCAGTGGCGTATATAACACTAATGACGGCTCTACTATAGCCAAGTGTGCCAGTAAACCATGACAGTGAGCCATCACCAATGTTATCAGCAACACCTGTGCTTTCATGCCGCTGCCTGTTTATACTTCGGTCTTCTTGTTTCACCGACAACACCCCACACTTCATCACACACGCATTCACATTACTGATGTTACTGACTGACACACTGCACAATGGTAACTATTGATTTATTTAGTTATAATAAATACCTTTAATTTACCATCATCCCTTTCCATATTTAGTTATGACCACACCCATTCATACACTGATGGTAGGGGCTACCATGCAAGAGGCTACCTGCCTGCACTGTTAACAGTCATTATATAACATGAACATGGAACACAACTAGTTTACATCACTTCAATTTAATTAAACTTTCATCACATTACATGTTAATGTATTACACTTTACCCAAAATTTCATTTAGCTCACATCGGATTCATACATGATTTTCATTGTAAAATGATCATTAATCTATCAGTATATTCACCAGCCATCCTGCTCATCAAGTCATCACATTGACTCTGAACATAAACAATTGTCTCCTGATGTTTTGTCAACCCATGGTTTTCCTGGTGTGTTTTTACAGAACAATGTCAAACCAACAAATAGTGTTAATATTGTCATCTGTGAGGAATCATAAATCTAGAACAAGCTACACAACGTTGCTATGTTTTCATATTTACATTTAACAGTTTGTGTGTTCTTCTCAAGCTGCAGCAATGGAGGCATCATCCAGCTGTCGACCCTGAGGCTGAGGAGAAAGGAGAAGACGACGCTGAAAATATTTACACATTCAGATAGCAATGACTGCTAACTCAGTGGTGCGGATAGGTTTCTGTGAGTGTGTTACCTTGACAAAGATGCGTTGGGGCAGGAAGCGTCTCAGTGTGTGTGTGTTGGCGGTCAGGCAGCGGGGCAGGCTGATGTTGAGCTGTGGTAGTGTTTGGTAACCAGCCATCAGTGGGTAATAGTTATACAGCATCTGCTGCTCTGTGCCCGGAAGGATACGCAGACGTACCTGCACGCACACGCACACGCACACACACACACACACACACACACACAATAAATAACAGTAAAAACTGCAAATTCAAACCTGTAATTAGTCGTCGGTCTCCAATGAGAAGTGTTCATTTATACAATTTAAGTTAACGAAGGAGACTTTCTGACACATTTATAAAATAGAGCAATCTGTCCAGCACAACTTTCTACATGACATTAAACAGGTAAAGTATACAACTAAATACGTCACAATTGTCAAAAATCTTTTAGTTTTTCTGGAGATGCTGTTTATGGACATTTATTGACATGATGAACTTTAAATTAGAAATAGTTTCCCCGATATGATCAGTACAAACTCCACTAGCAACTAGATTCGGGAGACATTTTGAGGCAAAAGTGTGAACATGAACTTAACTAAACTTGAGGCTAATCTGAACCAAACTGAACTGTCACAGTTGACATTTTTTACTATTCTCAAATAATGTCAACTTTTCATTTTGGATTCCATAATCAGCTGTCTGTTTCTCACTCATATGTCATTGGTTGAATTGTGCTGTAACATTTATTTTTCTTTTAACAGGTTTGGTTCTCTTTGGCTGATATGAATGCAATTACGTCAACAACCTGTCTTGGTCTGATTGAAAGCTAATTCTGCTACGCTTCTGTGATGTTAGCTTGAATTCAAAAGCTAAGCTACATTTGTACTCGTCAGCTGATCATCAAGGAAGCAGCCTCTTCAGTGATCTGTAAAGGTGATGATGCAAAGTGTATGGTGACTGTGCTGAGAACCCCCACACTGGGTGGTTTTTAAGGGGCGGTTTTCTTTCTCACAAACTGATGACTTCATAATCAGTTTTTTCTCAGATATGTAACACTTAATAACCTTAGTATAATCTCGTCATTCCTGTGGTTGTCCTCATAATACTACCCTCCCCCCTCAGCTCAGTAAATACTTTGAAAGGTTTTTTAACTACGATGGCCCGAAAGCAGTCTTACAAACTGCTGTAGATTAAACTATCTAACAGTATATAAAGAAGTTAAAAGAGCTAAAAGAAGTCAAATGCAAAATACACATTAATACAGCAGTAATATTAATCCAGAAACATCATATATAATAGTAATACACTGTCAGGGAACATTTTACTGCACAATGAGTACTTCTTACTTTAACCTGCAGTAGAGCATCACAGTGATATTAGTACTAAGTCAGTGTGACAAATAAACTGACAGGAACTAAAAGGCATCTTTGGTTCAGGTAAGTCACCACAGATGTAATCAGGAAACCTCTTCATTTCACGAAAAACTATTACTTTTGACCCGGCTGATTGAAATGCAGCTACATCACCCTTCACTTGAAAGGGAGCACCGTCGTACCTGTTTGAGTCCAGAGAACATGAAGGCATCAGACGGTTCAACGGCCATCTCCACCTCCTGCACCAGAGAGGTTCTGTTCTCTATGTGGTAGCGAACTGAAAGAGAC